TCTTTGTAATTTTTCCGAGACTGACGGAATAATCCCGAACGAGACTTTTGTTTCAAATTTATACAATTATATTTATAATTTTTTTTTCAATTTTTATTTGTATTTAACGTTTAAAAACGCGAAAAATCTCGTCTCGAGAGGATTGAGAAAAAGATGTAGCGATATAGAAATATGAAAACGACGATGAAAACCATCGAGAAGAAATTCATCCGTTATTTGGTATCTGTTAACAATGCTATGGGTAACATATCGTTTTATGAAGCGATATGACCGGAAAGATTATCACGCGCGATGCATTACGGAATTGAAGTATAGTTATTGCGCAACTGTGCGTCACGTTGAAGAACGGAAAGGAGGAAAAAGAAAAAAAAAAAGAAAAAAAAGAGAAAAGAAAAAAAGAATCACGTTGTCAGATTTTCACCGAGAGAAGCGTGTAAGCAACGTGTATTCCGCTATGTTTTCTTCGTCAGCGATATACTACATACATATATCAGGCTGTCGGCACTACTTATGACTACTTACGACTACTTACGACTACTTCGCGTACGTGCCACGATAAACGCCGGACTCTTTCGTATTCGTCGTCATGCCACTTTCCTTGCGTGTAATCGACGATCCGGCTGACCGTGAAATTATTTGGGACCGACGCTCTCGATCCTGCGTATGTAAGAATATGAATATGCCATGCACGAGAGAGAATCGAAATTAATACATTTTTACGATTTGTCAAACGAGTTTCGGGCACGTGTTAACGTTTAACGATGACATTTTGAACACGCGAAAATTTAACCCGTTGATTTTAACGCAATGCCATTATTATTCAAGTATATACTCTCTCTCTTATCTTCGTGTCAAACAAATCGAAAAGAAAATCAAAATATAGGCCATGTTTATTTATCTGTCGCCTGTACGAAATTTCGCGCGAAAAAAACGAGCAACGGATGCAACACAACAAACGCAATTGGAGCGCGCGCTTTCTGTTCTCGTTTTAGACACTGCTCGTTTTGTAACGCGCAAAACACACTCACCTTTCTACTGCGACAGGCCTGAGGATTGGAACACTCGGAAGATCGCCGACTGCGGTTGGTCTTGTAAATGTCCCACTCGTTTTTCATAACGGGCATCATAAACGCCATCTCGATAGCCGGCACTCGGTGAGCGAGCACACTCGTTCCCTCTATCCCGCGGCAAGTTTCCTTCCTTTTCTCTCACCTAGCTCTACACCTAGCCTCTGTCTTTCTCGCTCCGTCTTTCTAGAAAGTTCAAATCGCACAGCTCCTGGGATTCGGCAATCGTCGACAGTTTTCCCAAAAGATTCCGTCGAAACACTCGGCGGTCTCGCTTCACCAAATGCAACAAGAGGATATTTCTTCTCTCTAGCGGGAATTTACGGAATTAAAACGACCGAGCAAATATTTTTTTCGTTCTTTCGCGAACCGTATCCTCCGATTTTATCCTCGATTACGCGTATCCGCTTCGAATCGAACGGATCCGAGATTGACTGCGTACAATTTCGATCGGTTTTTCCACCGATTTGAATAGATGCCGCCGACGACAACAACGACGTGTCACTGCTACTATTGAAATTGTCAGTCGTCGCTTGTTGCCGATCGTGTTGTTCCAATCGCTGGTTGCTGGTTGCTGTGTCGACTGGAAAACTGCATACACGTCGTGTGCTTTCACGGATAGGATTAGCTTCGTCGCTTTTTTTTAACGGTAGCTCGGCGTGCTGCCTTTTCAACAACGTTCTCGATCACGCGCGTCCGGTCGATGCAGCAGTCTGCTACGGAATGAGCACGCCGATGCTCGTGTGGGTAGGTGTAAAAGATTGGCAAGGTGGGGACGAGAAAGCGAGCCTATTGGTCGATTCTGAGGCGGGACTCCTACGTCACGGGTTACCATTGATTTTCCAATGTTGATACACACGACAGTATGACGTTCTGGATTGATTTTCTGGCGGCGGTTCCTGCTGGATCGCACGTATACGTTGCTTCTCTCCATATAGCATAACACGTCAACGCGCAGGAATCTCTCCATCCCTACGGAAAAGGATCCGCAACCGACCTAACGAGCATCGACTTGCTTCCTGGCCCGTCCTCGACCCTCCTTCCCGCAAAAATCTGCTTCCTTCCGCCCTCTCAAGGTCGCCACGGCAAATTCGCATCGCGCCGAAACGCGAATATATATCGAATAGTTGCACGTGCAAACCACGTTGAAACAGTCAGCCTCTCTCTCATGATATAATTAGAAATTAGCAGTTACTATTCTCGGCCTATTGTTCTGTTCGAAACTTTCGATTCGATTCGATTATATTGCGCGTTGACGCTCGGTGAACCTTGAAACGTATATAATTTCGCCCTAGTGTCGATGAAGTGATTAATCGACGTATAAGAAATCGCTAATAATTGTTTAATACTCGATAAATCGCACTGTGACGCAATATTTGAATTGGATTGCGCAGTATGCGATCGGTTAAATATCGTTTCTATCGTATTTACGATCAATTTTAATCAATCGATTATCGTGTTACGATAAGCGATAAGCGTATCATACGTTTCAAATGAACAAATAAATTTTAAAGCGATAAATTACTTTTAAATTGATAAGAACAGTTTTCACTGATATTTTATCGATAGCTGGTATTGTCGTAACATTTTTATACCACAGGAATTTAAGGATCATATATATCTGCAGTCGGTATACTACCATCAACTGATTTCTTTGATAGATAGCTAGAGCAAGCGTTTAAGAGTTTTTAATGAAAATATAGAATAAATATAGATAAAGAGAGCAAATAGTAGAAAATATTGAGTGAAAATTAAAAAATCAGCGCCATCTTTGAATGCTTTTAAATAAATAATTCTTTAAAGAAAATGTTTTTAACATTTGAGATAACGAGCAATTCTTACTCTTTCGATCCATCTCTAAATAAATATCTTAATTAGCCGAGAGATGGCACTGACAGTCAATTCCTATTTTATCTCTATCCTTCTCTTATTGTTTTCTGTCCTTTCCATATATGTTTCATTTGCGGCACTCTGAAGATGGCGCTGATTTTAATCTTTTATCCTATCTTTGTCTTTTTCCCACTATTTGCTTTCTTTGTCTATACTTCACGCGTAACTATACAAGTACGTGATACAGTTTTAATAGTAAAAATTGTTGTTAAAGTTTCTCGAACGATTTTAAATTTATATTTAACTAATAACAAAAAAAGATAGATCTATCGAATAAGTCGAATCTTTTACAATAATCTCAATAAATCGTAAATTGGTTAATAATTAAAATTTTACTAGTTCTAAAGGGAACTATCAACAATTGAATGCAATGAATAAAGAAATAAGAATAAAAAGAAGAAATTTTTCATAAAAAGTAAATTTATTTTCTGTTCATAAAGGTATAGGTCTTTTGTTTAAATAAACGCAATTCATCTGTTTCACGCGATACGCTATTGTTGAGTGATCGAAAAAAACATTAAGCTCGCAACATATCCGAATATTATGCTGCTGCTGCTGTTGCTTATATGCCGTTACATCTATAAAAGACGAAAAGACTTTTTTTATCCTAACGTTTCACGTACATTGTCCTTTCTTTTTTCTTTCTTTTTTTTTGTTTCTCTTCTTATCTTTATAAGTAGTTTCGCGTTCATGCTTCGGACAATAAAGGAACTGTAAAACCCGACTTAATCTTACTACTAAGTCTTAAAACTTTAAACATAATCGTTGATATAATAATAACGTTACTATGACAAAGACACGCTGTTTTCCATTCCAATATTTCGATTTGAAATTTGTCTAGTAAGTAACGCTTTATATGTACAATATGAATAGGTACATACAACACAGAGAATTTGCATTATCTTGTACTTGCAATGGTAAACATTACCATGAACCAGATTTTTCAGGAAGCTCTGAGACAAGTTGCATTATTTTCTTACAAAGTAGGTACCCAAAAAAGTAAGCGAATATTACAATAAAATAGTTTCTCTTCGTATCGTGAAAGAAGCGTTTGCCAAAACGGTTGCGTTTCAATTAAAACGCTTCATTCCGCCTTTCCCAAGATTTAATTCGAGCAAAACCTCTCGTGAGGTTTTTCTTTTCTAGCCAGTCAACCTTTAAAGATAACACGATATTTACTTATATATTTATATTGCACTATCGTTTTCCGTAGGAAAGTCTTATACTATTATACAATATATAATTTATATATATATATATATTTACTATATCCGATTGCAATATAGTTATAAAGTCTATACATATTTCGTTCTCTTGAATCAAAATACACCTTCAGAGATTATTTTGTCGTTTTAACCACAGGTATATAAGAGATACCATTTACGTGGATCTCTCGTAAAACGTAAAAACTAGAACATATCTTTGGCACGGTTAAGAGGTATCTGCAATTGTTCTTCAAAATATCATTTTCGTTTGCATTTCAACGTGTTAAGCTGCGGCAAGCCGTTAAGTTCCTTAGCGGCTCTTTATCTCTAATACGCAATAAGCACCGGATTACAAAAACTTGACTGGATTAGAAGTGCGTGGGCGACTCGTGCGAACGAGAGAGAAAAAATTCGGGTGAATGGGATATTATTTCTCTAAGATTTTACGCTCGAGAATCTATTCTGACCCGAATCATTTTCTCGAATATATATATTTCGAATTTATATCTCATTTATATTTCAAGATCGCACACACTTCTAATTATTTAAGACGGATTCGTTTAGAGCCAGGAGGCTGGCTCGTTTTGTATACTTCGTTCTAGTTGCTCTCCGCAAGAGAAATATCTAAAACCCGTCTACATTTAGTTGCGACTTACATGCTATTACATACTTAATTAATACCTCTCTTTTGGCACAGATTCGACGATCACACCAATCACAAACATTGAAAGTATACTCTAATTTTAAATAGTACTTGTTAGACGCCGTTTCGGGGGGAGGAGGGAGGGGGAGAGGGGAGGGGATATCCAACTCGATAATTTCGTACAAGTTTTTTTTCAAGTCGGACGATTCATTGTTTTCTTTTTTTTCTTTTTTTTTTTTTCTTTTCTTTAAGTACTTTAGCTATTTATGTACAACGATGCGCATAAAAATAATATATATATATATATTCTCGTAGTGAACACTCTTTAAAATGGCATTATTTCTTCCTTTACTTTTAGAGAAAGAAATCAATTTGATATTTTTAATTCGATACCGATGGATATTCGCTCTCTTTTTTTTTTCTTTCTTCCTCCATTCGATTAAATGCCCTGCGTACTTTGTAACTTTACCGTACCTTCTCCTCGTTTCTTCGAGTATACTTGGGAATTTTAAACAAGCAAGTTTAAAGTTTAGAGCGAGTACAAGTAGCGTTTAAAAAAAAAAAAATACTGCACGCAATTATTTCCGCAAATAACGTAATCGTAACAGAGAGAAAATTATCATTTATCTCTCGAACGACTATAATATTGTTGTCTAATTAAATAACTTTTAAAGCAACGTGTACAACAATTCAAATAAAAATATATTTTTTCCTTTCTCAACTGATAATAAAATAACGAACGAACAAATAAATTAACGAACGAATAAATAAATAAACAAGGGATCGAAGAATAAATAAATATGGAGAAAAAAAAATAAATAATCGAATAAATCGAACAAATTGAACAAAAATATAAAAAAATATATATATATGTGTGTGTGTGTGTAGATAATTGGTGAAGGAAGAGAAAGTATCTCAATTTCGCAGTTCAAACGTGCAATTCGAGTAAAGATGGATTCGCTGATGGTCCCTCAGATGGTGTCGATGCTTGAATCGTTTCTTGCACCAGGCGCATTGAAATCTTGGCCCGACCCCGCATTCCAACCGTAAATGTCTCGTTAAGTTGCACTTGTGGGAATAAGTACGACCGCATTTCGGACACAAAAACGGTGGCCCGTCCTCCAAATCCTTCAGCATCTTCCAAACTGCAACATTTTTTTTTAAGCATACGATGAAATTGTTTGAATTGAAACAATTTATATGGATAACAACTCGGCGAAAGAATATAATAAAGCGATTTTATACGATATAAATATTAATCGAAATATTAATATCAATCAAGAAGGTACAATACAATAAATTCGAGGAATTCTTACATTGAGCCATGCTATCGCGAAAGAAACGCGATAATTCTCTTCTTTCTCTCGATGATCGTGCCTCGAAAAATTTTCCTCTCATCATGTTTTTTTACAAGACAAATTTCTGGCATGCAATTACTCGACATCTCTCGATCGATCAAGTAAAAGAATTAGATCGTGGAACACATGGTTTGGAAACACATGGTTTTATAAAGAATATATGGATATTTGATACGATGAAATTTGTTTACACAAGCATGCTAACTATTTTGATGATGATGTATGTAAAATCAATGATACAGGAGATTAATTCCTCCACGAGAAATAATCGGTCGGTATTAATATCGTAATCTTATTTTTTTTTCTTTTTTTTTTTTTTATACAAAATAATTTTATTTTCACTATTATGTACAATCGTAATAATTTCGTTTTTTATTCGTTATAATCTAATGCATTTTTCTACTATATATAGATTTTTTTTTATTATATACATGTATCCATGTATATATATATATATTCATTCTATATCTCATACGAATGTCTTACCTTCGTTTCATCTTTTATCACCTTTCTTTTATTACCTTATTGTCTTATATTATATATAAGTGTCTATATATACTCTCATCTTAAAGTTTACAACATATGTATAACAACTTTATCAATATATTCTAAAAAAAAAAAAAGAAGGCAGTGAGTCAGTCTATACATGGTAACATATCTTGATATCAGAGATCACCGTTTAATTATATATGCACATTAGTAATATATTCATTTCGACCAATGATCTCTTTCTCTCTCTGACGGTATTTAAGATTTTTGATGAGTTCTCATATGTAAAACCAAATTATGCTTGTGCTTCGACTTCTTGTGACAAATGGGGCACTCGAATTGGGGCTCCACTCCGCACTCGAACCTAATGTGCCTGTTCAACGAGTGAGGCCTCGAATAAGCATTGCCGCAACGTGGGCAAGAGTAGCTGGAAGAATCGCGAACGCTCGCCGTTCCGTGATTCCCCGTCTCGTCAACACCGTTCTCCATAGCAACCGTCTTCTCCGTGGCAACGAATTCTTCAGGCAATTCCCAGAGCCTGGTTGTTGCCCTTGTTTGCCGGCCGACCACTTGCCGTTCTCGAAAACCACCTTGTTCTCTGCCATCATTTGATTTTCCGCCATCAGCCGAAGATACAAGCTCTGGTATTGATAGTACCATTCGATCGCTGCGCTTGGCGAGTACTTCCGTTCTAGAAAATAGATAAAAGAATCAGATACACGCACTTGTGTGCACCGTTCCCCCATTCGATTCCGCATCTCAGTCACGGATGGTTAACATTGCATAGTTGTCGCACAAGGATTATCGATGAAGAAGGATGGACTTTACACAGAGCATGAATACATTTAAACGATCACCGTGAGAACAATCACACGTTGTTTCTCGAGTTGCAAGTTCTGTTTCTGTTATTTCTTTTTTTTTTGCTAGACTTTCGAGAAGATCTTCCCGAGAAGAATTCGAAATGTAGGTCCGAAATGTAAGTTGCAAGTGTTATTTGGACATGGGAATCGCGAGAGTGAAAAATCTCGATGCTTTCGTATCATTTCAAGTGAAATAGTTTTAGTTGAAATGTAGGGATGGGTGGTAATTTGACTTCGGATCGATTCGGCAACAATCGGACGCGATCGGTTCGGGAACTCGAGAGCTGAAAGAGGAGGGAGATAGTGGAAGAATATTTCGCTCGATCCCGCCCGAATTTTGCCGATTCGTGCCGAAGTTCTTGATCCTATTTGACAAAGATAGAATGTGGATTTTTATGTCCAAATATCGTGAAACGCAACTTATCCATACTTTGTTAGATTTCTTCTTTTTTTTTCCTCTATATTATCGTGTTATATTAAGTGAAACCCGTAAAATGAGGTTAAAAATATGAAATTGATTTTTTTTTTTATGGAATGACACATATATATATAAGGTTTAGGCTCACCACAAACAAGGCTTAATGTTAAAGATTAGCACGTTAAGTTTTTGTATAAGCATAATAACACTTTTCTTGCAACATTTAACAAATTTTTGGTTTAGAGTTTTTCTGCTTTTCTTTTGAGTTTTTCTTTTCTTTTTTTTTTTTTTTATTTTATCTAATTTATTTT